TATGGCAAATCAGCCATCTGCAAATCATTCCCATTCTCCAATGAATCACCCCCAAGGACTGTATTCTAGACCTTCTCCTAAAGTCATTTTCCAGTCTGAAATTTGAATTTTAATTCTCTCATCATGTTCTATTCATGGCTACCACTCTCTTCGTATAGACTCTCCATGATATCTTGTGCCTTCTTTACAAACTGACCTTGGATCCAGCATGCTACATTACTATCATAATGAAGTTCCTCTGTCATGTCTGTTGTATGTCTCCATTCTTTGATATCTAATAGATTTGGCTACTAATGAGAGACCTTCTGACTGATATTCTACATTCTTGTCACTTTTACTTGTACTTTCTAACTTTCATTGTCCTTGTCTATTAAATAAGGAAGGAGGTGAAAATATTATATGAAAAACTGCACATACATTTCTTGATTGATATCTGAATCGAGGCATTATAGCCCCCAAAATTCATTTTTCTCTGAAATTAAATGATTCTAAAGCAAATCACTTTGTTTTTAAATTTTTTTGTTTCTTATTTTTGTTTTATGTGTATGAGTGTATTGCCTGCATGTATGTAAGTGTAATGCCCACAGAGGTCAGAAGAGGATCCCCTAGAACTGGAGCTTCAGATGGTCGTTAGCTGCCATGTGGGTGCTGGGAATTGAACCCAGGTCCTCTGTAAGAGCAGCTAGAGCTCTTAACTGCTGAATCATCTCTCTAGCCCATACAAATCACAGTTGTTACTTACCACCACAAATCTGTGCTTTTCAACCATAAGTATTTAACTTTTTAGATCAATTTTTTTTCTTTATCTTATTAGTGTTTATTATTTTCCATTGTTAACTCCCCAAATTATACCAGTCTTTCAGATTTCCTTTCTGTAACTACCAACTTTGTTTTTGCATATATCCTTCACTGATCTATACTTGAACAAGCTTCAGTTAGGCTCCTGAACCTTTTTCCTAGTGTGAACTCTGCATATAAAATCCAGTTTGAGGGGGCTGGAGAGATGGCTCAGTGGTTAAGAACATGGGTTGTTCTTGCAGAAGACCCAGGTTTGAACCCCAGCACCCACATGGCAGCTAACAACTGTCTGTAACTCCAGTTCCAGGGGACCTGACAGCCAGCCTCTTCTGTTCTCTGTGGGCATTACATGGCATAGGTGCACTTACCTACAGGCAGACAATACATGCATACACATAAAATAAAAATAATAAAAATATTTTAAAAAAAGAATGAGAACAAAATAAAATCAATTTCAGATACAAAAAAGAATAAGTATTCATATTAACAAATCTTCACTAAAAGAATGTTAAAAGTATACTTCAGAAAGAAACCCAACAATCACAAATAAAGTGTAAAGATGCAGAAGATGAGGTGAGGGAGGGAGGGAGGTAGAGGCCAAATTATAAAGGTCTAGCATACCAAGTTAAGCAATCAAGGATACACAGGGATCCAAGGAAGTTCCAAATAGCACAATGATTTGGTCAGACTTCTTCCCATCATTCTCCCTAGATTTTTCCTTCTTTTGAATGTGCTTCTTAAGAGTCTTTTCAGATACAATTCAAGTATCACTTTTACTCCAATCTCACTGTGATCTATGTGTTTTCCAAATTTCCATACTACTTCTTTAAAAAGATGGGGTATAAACTAGTGAGTTTTTTTTCAAGTTAGTCACAAATTGCAGCAACAAATTGATTCATACATACATACTAGTACATACTAGTATCCTCTCTGCTTTTTTTTTTTTTTTTTTTTTTTTTTTTTTTTTTACAGGGTCTCCTGTAGCCCCAGCTGTCCTGGAACTATGTAGACCAGGCTGGCCTTGAACTCACAGAGATCCACCTGCCTCTGCCTCCCAAGTGCTAGGACTAAAGGCTTGTGCCACCACACCCAGGCTCTCTATGCTACTTAAAAAACAAAATAATTGCCTATGTGGCAGAAAGACAGAAAATTAAGAAGCAAGAACATTAAGGTTGGGGATAACGATAGGGCACTTGCTTGGCTTGTTTAAGGCCCTCAACTGGATCCCACATGAAGGCTGAGGGAGAGGAAGAAAGATAAGGTACAGAAGGAGGAGAAGCCATTTTCTCCTTTGCTGGTATAGTTCTAGAAAACAAATCATGAGGTGTATATAATATAGGCATATTATATTAAAAAAGCTCTTATCAACTTATTTACTATTTTAACTTTGTGAGAAACTTACAGAATGACAACAGTTCAAATTCCTTAAATATGATCAAGCATTTAAATTTTTGACCAATGAAAAACTAAAATATTTGCTTTTGTTCATACCAGGAAGGTTTCCATTGTAGTCCACATCTTCTATGCCACATCCCCATTTGACAAGAAGTTGCAAACAGCCAAGCCGCCCATGAAAAGCTGCATAATGTACAGGTCTCCATTCCCTCTTATCAGCCACACTGGGATCCTAGAGGCAACATTCACAAGGACTCAGTTTCTTACCATTTTGTAGAAAAACACTAAGTTTCTTACCATTTTGTAGAGAAACACTAAGCCTAGAAGCTATTCTGCAAATGAAAATTAGAAGCTATTCAAAATTATAAGGCAAACATTTGATATAATAAATTTACATGAAATATTTATGACCTTTAATAGCCTTTTAAAAAGAATATAACCAGTCACACAACATAATGTTAAAAAGGAACTTAATTAATTACTTCACTGTCACAGAATCATGTTCTATAACATAAAAAGGATGGATTTAAATGATCTCATATGATCAGAACGTTAAGGAATTAACAAAAAAAAAAAGTGTCTCACTTCATGGAAACAATTTTTATAATAATGCCTTCAGTATAGGTATCTCTCTCTCTCTCTCAATCTCTCTCAATAACTCCCTCCTCCTCCCCCTCCTTTCTTACGAGAGGGGTTGAGACAGGATCTCACTCTGTATCCCTGGCTGGCTGCCTAAGACTTCTGCCAATCCTCTTACCTCAATCTCCAAATGCTGCAATTACAAACAAGAGCTATCATACACAGTGGAAGTTCTGTTCTTGTAACAAATTGTTTTTTACACCCAATGAGTACTATTAAAAATAAATATTAGGGCTGGAGAGATGGAACAGTGGTTAAGAGCACTGGCTGCTCTTGCAGAGGACTCAGGTTTGGTTCCTAACACACACATGGTAGCTCACAACCATCTTTAATTCCAGTTCCAGGGGACTCAACACCCTCTTCTGGCCTCTGCACACACTGTGTGTACAGGTACATTTACACACATGCAGGCAAAGCATGCATACACATAAAAATAAATTAATTAGTTTAAATAAACAAATAAATATTAAGGGCTGAAGAGATGGCTGAGCAGTTAAAAACATGCATGGCTCTTCCAGAGGACCAGAGTTTAGTTCCCAGCATCCAGGTCAGGTAGCATACAACTGTTAACTCCAGCTTCAGGTAATCTGACACCCTCTTCTGGCCTCCATAGGCATTGCATACACATGCACATACCCACACATAGACTCACACATATATACATAATTAAAAATAAAAAATAAAAGGGCTGGAGAGATTGCTCAGTAGTTGAGGGCACTTACTGCTCTTGTAAAGGACCTGGGGTCAGTTCCCAGCACCCACAAGGCAGCTGACAACCATGTATAACTCCAGTTCTAGGAGATCTGATGCCCTCTTCTGGCTTCTGTGAGTATTGCATGCATGGGTACACTTAAATACAGTCAAAACACTCATATATGTAAAATAATAAAATAAGTAAGTGTAAAACAACTACAAATAAAATCTTTAAATTCATAAAGACAGAGTATCTGCTTAAGATTTGCTTAAAAGCTTCAGAATCTTCCCAGTTAAACTCTGAAACAGCACCAAAACCTCTGAAATAGTCTATATTATTAAACTGCTTATTTTGGGGGGAGGATTTATCCCAATTATTGCTTCCATGTTCAAAGATGAGAAAGCTAAAGGAAAAAAATTACTTCTCCAAAGTCATATAAAGGAATTAAAGTCAGGAAGAGATGACCAAACTACCAATTACTATCCCATCTACATGACTGCATACTATCCTAATTCAGAGGAGTCCCTCACCACTCCACTTCGCAGCATTATTTGTAAAGTGAAAGAATGTCCGTGAGTGGCAGCAAGGTGCACAGGAGTGCATCCTCGATCATCTTGAGCTACCAGGTTGGCTCCATTGATTATGAGAGCCTAGAAACAGAGAAATGAGAATAAGCTTATGTGAGCACAGGTGTTAAACAATGACTGTAGATACAGAGTAAAGACAAGCAATTAATCTACCTACAGCAAATAATTACACATATCCTACAGGCAAACCATGAGACATTCCTTAGCTAATCCTAAGTAAAGGTTTGTAGTATTCTTTAACATTGCCTACTCAACCTTAATTAACTAGTGCTAAACTTATATATAACACATAATTACTTTAAAAAAACTAGTATCCCTGGGGTTGGAGAGGTGGCTCAGTGGTTAAAAGTGCTGGCTGCTCTTGCAGAGGACCCGGGTTCAATTCCCAGCACCCACATGGCGGCTATGCCATCCTTAACTCCAGTTCCAGGGGAATCCGAAGCCCTCTTTGACCTCTGCAGCATTGCACAACATGGGTGCACTCACATACACACAGGCAATACACTCATACACATAAAATAAAAATACTAAAATATTTTTTAAAAAAGAACTATTATCCCCAATCAAAATCCCAATAATGTATTTTTATGGATAGCAACAAACAGATTTTCAAGTTTGCAGAGAGACAAAATACCCAGAGTAGGGGCTGGAGTGATGGCTCAGAGGTTAAGAGTGCCCAGCACCAACATGTCAGCTAACAACCTTCTGTAACTCCAGCTCCAGGGCATCTAACACCCTCTTCTGACTTCCATAGGTATTGCAAGACAGAGGTGCACTTACATACGTGCAAGCAATAAACTCAGACACATAAAATAAAAATAATAAATAAACATTTTTTAAAGACCCAGAATAGCCAATACAATATTAAAGAACAAAGTTGGAGGAATGACATTACCCAACTTCAAGACTCACTACTAAACTACAGAAATCAAGACACTATGACAATGGTCAAAGAACAGACAGAAATTTCAATGGTTCTGAATAGAGACCTAGAAATAGACCCAAATAAACATTGTCAACTGAACTTTGAAAAAAGAGAAAAGGAGCTGGGCATGGTGGCACATGCCTTTAATCCTACTACTCCAGAGGTGCGGACAGAGGCAGGCAGATTTCTGTGAGACTGAGGTCAGTCTGGTCTATGAAGTGAGTTCCAGGGAAGCTTGAGCTATAAGGAGATCCTGTCTCAAAAGAATCAAAGAGAGAGAGAGAGAGGTGAAGAAAGAAAGAGAGACTGAATTAACTACAATAGACAAAAGATTGTCTTTCAATAAATATTGCTAGAACAACTGGGCATCATGTAAAAACACTGAATCTAAAAAACCTTCAAAAATTAAAATGGATCACACATACAAAATACCAAACTATAAAACCCTTAGATGACAGGGGGGGATCTGGATAACTCAGGAGTAGGCTACAATTTTTTAGATATACCAAAGGTACAAGCAGTAAAACGAAGAATCGATGATAAACTGGACTTCATTTAAGATTAAAATTTTCCACTCTACAAGACACTGGCAAAAGACTAAAAAGACAATTTACACAGAGAAAATACCTGTAAAGATATATCTGAGAAAGGACTGATATCTGAGACAGGGGAAAAAAAAAAACTCTTAAAATTAAAGGATAAATGCTGGGCATGGTGGCGCATGCCTGTGATTCCAGCACTGGGAAGCAGAAGTAGGCAGATCTCTGAGAAATTGAGGCCAGCCTGGTCTACACAGTGAGTTCCAGGAAGGCTGGGTCTACAAGAGACCCTATCAAAAAAAACTTAAGTGATAAGAAAACATTCAATTTTAAAATTGATCAGGGCTGGGGGCTGGAGAGATGGCTCAGAAGTTAAGAGCATTGGCTGCTCTTACAGAGGACCCAGGTTCAATTCCCAGCACCCATATGGTGGCCAAAAACCATCCTTAACCCCAGTTTCCAGGGGATCCTATGTCCCCTTCTGACCTCCACGGGCATTGCACAACATGAGTGCACTTACATACATGCAGGCAATACACTCATACACATAAAAATAAAAATAATAAATATTTTTAAAAATTGACCATGGCTGTGGATATACTTCAGTAGTTAATTGGTTAACATGCAAAAGACCCTGAGATCAGTCCCCAATACCATCAAAGAAAGCCAATGATCAGAACCAACACCTACCAAAGAAGACATATAAAAAGCCAAGCCACATCAAACACCATCAGAGAAATTCAAATTTAAACAACAATAAAATACCATTATCTACTTATTAAAATAGCCAAAATCCAGAGCACTGACAACCCAGAAAGAACTGGTTGGGAATGCCAAATGGTACCATCACTTTAGAAGACAAAAGGGAAGTTTCTTATGAAACTAACCATAATCTTACTATAATCCAACAATCACATCACACTCTCCTTGGTATTAAATACCTAAGGAAAATTGAAAACTTATGTCCAAATGAAAATCTGAACACGAGTGTTTATATCAGCTTATTCGTATTGCCAGATCCTGGAAACGACAAAAATGTCTTTCAGTAGATGAATGAAAAAAACAAAGCAAAACGACCACAAAAAAAACAGTAACCATTACCTGCATACAAGCATCCCGACCCCTGATTGCAGCTATGTGAGCAGCTGTCCATCCTCTCACAGTTCCTAGAGTGGTGTCAGCACCATGCCAGAGCAGCCAATGAAGGCACTAAGAAGATAATCACAGTAACAGGTGAAAAGTTAGATGCTTTTAGTGGTTTTAACTTAGTTTACTAACATTAAATTCCCACTGTACCCTGAAAATCAAGGGAGGGGCCCGGTGTAAGAAAATCAATAGCCCCCCACTCTTCTGTAAATAAACCCCCACCCTATGTTGTTAGCAAGCATGGATTTTCTAAAAAAAAAAAAAAAAAAAGCTGACCCCATGTTGGTAAATCCTTTGGTCTTTGATTTCTTATTCATATTTTCCCCCTTAAACTTCATTGTACATATATTTTTATGTAACCTGTTTCAAGTTTTCTGGAAAAATGTGTTAAAATTGCCTCTCATTGGAATAAAAAAGAGAAAAATGAAAAGAAAATCAATACCACAAACACAGTGACATAGCAACCAACATATGACCTCACTGCTATGTAAGCAACAGAAGGTAGCACAAACTACAGCAAACTGGAAACCACATTCCTGGTCTACCAGGTACACTCTACACCCAGTTACAGCACCTCTTGCTGGGGGTGAAATGCTGATCCAATGATGGTAAATACTCTAGTTGGCTAGTATTGTGCAAGCCAAACAAAACCCATCTATGAACAAAGTTCTCTCAAGGACTGCCACCTTGCAATCATCTTTTTGTTGTTGTTTCTTCTTTTCTGTGGTTGGAGATGGCACGGTGGATAAAAGCTCTTGCCGCTCTTGCAGAAGAACAGAGTATGGTTCCAAACACCCACGTCATGTGGCACGTAACTTCAGCTTCAGGAGTTCAATACCCTCTTGTGGCCTCAGAGGACACCTGAACTCACACAGGTACCCCCACACGGACATACAGACACACAGGCACACATAATTAAAATAAAAAATATTTTTCTTTTTTGTCTGTGTTTTGTGTTTTTGTAACATTTTGTTTTTGTTTTTCTGAGACAAGGTCTTACTATGAAGCCCTGGTTGGCCTAGAACTTGCTATGCAGACCAGCCTGGCCTCAACATCACAAAGATCCACCTGCCTTTGCCTCCCAAATACTGGCATTAAAGGCATGCACTACCACACCCAGCCTCTTTTCTTAATAATCATTTATTATTTTTATCTTATGTGTATGAGTGTATTGCCTACATGTATGTAAGTGCACCATGTCATACATTGTCCACAGAGGTCAGAAGAGAACTTTGAACCCCTTGAAACTGGAGTTACGGATGGCTGCTAGCTGCCATGTGGGTGCTGAGTATTGAACTCCATGTCCTCTGGAAGAGCAGCCAGTGCTCTTAACTGCTGATCCATCCTTAGCCCCATCTTTTCTTTTTTTAAGAGATGAGATCCAGGCCGGGCATGGTGGTGCACGCCTTTAGTCCTAGGACTTGGGAGGCAGGCAGATCTTGAGTTCGAGGCCAGCCTGGTCTACATAGCAAGTTCCAGGTCAGCTGGGATTACAGGGAGAACCTGTCTCAAAAACATGACAAAAAAAAAAAAAAAAAAAAACAGAGAGAGAGAGAGAGATGAGATCCTACTATATTTTGTCCAAGATGACCCAGAACTCCTGGTTTCAAATGACTTCCTTCCTCACCTTTCCGAGTGGCTTGGACCACAGACACTCAACTCTATGCTTAACTTCTACTGCAAATCTTTAAATGGATCCAGAAATTTTTGTGTCAGAACAAACACTGTTTTTCTGATGGTAGTCTCTATAAATATATATAATATATGAGTTTTTTAAATTATATGTTGTATTTCATTACAACAGCATTGACATATTCAATAAAAATTTTCAGAGCTAA